TCCCTTCCACCTGACTCGAGGACCCCTTTTCTTCTTTCTCTCTCACTCCCACCCCCCTTTTTTTACCGGTCTTTTAGATTTTACGAGTTTTCCAACTCGGAAAAAATTCACCGAGATGAAGCATTCTAATGAAACTCTGTTATTGCAGTGTGGTGTAAAATAAAGTGAAACTGTTATATCCTCGAGAAAATTCTGATTTTTATCGAGTTCTTCAAGATTTTTACATTCATAACTGTATTAAGTTTTTATACATATCAATTTCTTCTTTTTTCTTTTATTTTTTCTGCAATTTCTCTTTATCATGATGGTTATTCTAATTTATCGTTAACTATTTAATTCTAATTAAGTAATTACTTTAATTATTTATTTAAGTTCATTAATATTTCCCACGTCGAAAAAATTCCATGGAGTTTCCATGGAAATTCTGACAGTTTTTTATTTTAAAAATATTTTTAAAGCAAACGTTAAATTATTTTCATATGTAATAAAAATTTTTTTCTCGATATTCAATTATTTTCCTTGAATAATAAAAATCATAATAGAATTTAAATTATTTTTCAATACACTTTTAATCAAATTTCGCCAAAAATGTAATTATTCTTGCAAATATTAAAATTCGTCGAAAAAATTCAACTATTTAAAAATTTGTTGATAAAATTCTTTATGAGGATACAATTTTGAAAAACATTCATTTATTCAATAAATTATTTATTTTTGTATTTTATTTGTATTTAAATAGTTGAATTCTCGTAGAATTTTCTAATATGTATTTCTAATATGTATTGAAAATAATTGAATTCCTGTGAAGAATTTGATTATTTTCAAAGATTTTTCCCAATAATTTTTAATATCTACTATTTATATAAAATTTTTAAAAAAATTTTTTTAATTTTAAAAAGATTCATAAAATCTTTTTAATAAAAAATTTTCATAAAATTCTACGCAAACCTTTAATTATTTTTATTAATTCTGTAGAATTAATTTTTTTTTAAAAAGTTTAATTGAATTTTATTTTTGCAATTATTTCAATTATCTTGAATTCTTTTTTTAATTCTTCACAGTTATTCAATTGTTTTCCAAAATGATAAAATTTTTCACTAAAATTTAATTCTTTAAAAAGAATAAAATAAATAACTTTTCAGAAATTCAATTATTTTTTTTAAAAAATTGATAAATTCTTGAATTCTTTACAGAATTTTAATTATTTAAAAAAAAATTTCATAAAATTCTTCACAAGAATTCAATTATTTTCCCAAATAATAAAATTTTCCACGCGACTTCAATTATTTTTAAAAAAATCCAATAAAATTCTTTTCAGAAATTCAATTTTATTTTTTTAAAAATTAATAAATTCTTGAATTCTTTACAGGATTTCAATTATTTAAAAAAATGTCATAAAATTCTTCACAAGAATTCAATTATTTTCCCAAATAATAAAATTTTCCACGCGACTTCAATTATTTTTAAAAAAATCCAATAAAATTCTTTTCAGAAATTCAATTATTTTTTTAAAAATTTATAAATTCTTGAATTCCTTACAGAATTTCTATTATTGAAAAAAAAATTTCATAAAATTCTTTTGTTTATATTAAATTTTAATTTGATTTTTTGATAATAATTGAATTCTTGTAAATAATTCACTGAAAAAATTACGAACAGAAAATTTCGTAAAATTTTATTCGAAATAATAAAGTATGGAAAAAAATTATTTTAATTTCTTTGAGAATTTTCAAGTTCTTAAAGAATTTTAACTGCTAATTTTAAAAAAATAATTGATTTAAACTGGATTTTACAAAGACTTATAACTGTATTTATTATTCGTTTTTTTATTTCAATTCAATTTGAATTTCGCGCCAAAAGTTCTGTAATCGTCCGTCCAGGTGGCGATAAATCTCGCTCACAAACGAAATGAATTGGACAAGTTATAAAAATAATTGAATTGCTAAGTTTACAGATTGGTTTTAAATGATTTTAAATTTGATTTTTTTTAAATAATTGAATTTTTGTATATAATTTATTAAAAAAATTTACAAACGATTGAAAAATTTTTTGTGAAAATTTTGTGCAAAATAATTCAGTATTTTGAAAACTTTTCTAAACTTTTTTGTCAATTAGCAAGTTTTCTAAAATATTGTCACTGCAAATTTTGAAAAACAATTGAAAATTTTGTTTAAAATTTTGTTCAAATTAATTCAGTTTTTATAAAATTTTCTCAATGTTTTTGAAAATTGTCAAGTTTTAAAATATTGTTACTGCAAGTCTTGCAAAATAATTGAAACGAATTGAATTTTTTTCAATGAATAACAAAGAATTGCGCAAATTAAACTTTTTACAATATTTGCTTTTTTTAATTTAGTTTGAATTTCGCGCCAAAAGTTCTGTAACCGCCCGTCTAGGTGGCGATAAAACTCTCTCACAAACGAAATGAATTGGATGCAATTTAAGAATTATTAAGTTGTTAATATTATAGTTTGGTTTCTAATTAAATTATTCGTGTAAAATAAAAATATAAAAATCATACAAATAATAATATTAATGGTAAATATAAATATAAATAAAAATAAATAATGAATAAATATTAGGTATATTAATATATTAATACAATTATAATAATCTCTATCAATAAAACACAAATAATAAAAAATACAGTATTATATAAAGTACAAAATAATTATAATAATCAGTTTCGGACAAGATCAAAAATCGAAAGAATATAAAATCGATTGTTGTCGAGGTTTAAGTTTCACATTTTTTTTTTTATGAGAAGGTGGAAAGTGGATTTTTTTTCAGTATAACCCTAAAAATTGAATTATTTTGATCATATTTATATGGTGGTGGGATTTGATGTAATATCCTGTCAAGAGAAATATGAATTTTCCCTTCGATATACTTATATGGTGCGTGTTTGTGTATGTATACATATATGAATCAAACATGACGAAAACGAACTTGAACACATTTCTTATCAGTAATTTTTTTTACGTACGAGGGCTTCTACTTCTCGTCGACACTTTTTTTTCAAACACCCACGTTCACTAGATCCTTCAGACAGCAGATAAAAAACCTTATAGGATATATATGAGAAATGTCTTGATGTCCTCGAAGGAAAAATTTGTTAAGATTGCTTTTTAAAAAAACAGTTACATTTTTTTTCTCAACACTTTTGAATGTAATTCAGTGTGGAAAAAAACGATTGGCTGAATGATTGGGACAATTTCAGGTCAATATTTACTCTTCTTTTTTATTTACCTACTTTATTTTTTATTTCTTGTTTAATTAATTTAATTTATTTAGTTTTTTATTTATTTTAATTTGGTAGTTTTTTTTAATTTAAGTAGGGGAACATAGTCTAGGTCGGCCACCTTTTTGACTTTTGTTTATAACTTTTTTTTAAAAATGAATTTGGACAATTGAAGTATATGGTTGGAAAGTTCTGTTTAATAGGAACATTTTTTCTGTACAAAGTAAATTGACAGGTTTAAAAATGAAAAAGTTATAAAGATTAAAAAAAAAAAAAATTTGTAGTCCAGGTTGGCCATTACAGTCAAGGTCGGCCATGTTTAAAATTCAAAGGGCATTAATCTTTAAAAAATAAAATAACATGTTTGGAGTTACGGAAAATTGATTCTTTATTGTTTACAGTTTGTAACTTAATGAAATAACAAAATAATAACAATAAACAATATAAAAAAATAAATATAAATAAAAAAAAGTTTTGCACTAAAATATTAATAAAATTAAATAAAAATATTAATAAGATGATCAATTATATTATGAGTTATACAGAATTGCAGTTTTTGCAAATGAAGTAGCTCGTCCTCAACTTTGCGCATTTTAAACACATAGTGGCCGACCTTGACAGTAAGTAGCATTACCGAATTGTTGTAACCATAAAGAAATACGTTTCGGGATTCGATTTTTTACTTTGTTTTTCTTTCAACCATGAGTCCCACAAATTTTCTGCATACTTGCCTTGACGATTCAATTTGTTTTTTATCTTTTATTAATGGTTTTTCACATTATGCACAAAACTTTTTTTGAGCTTTTTTTGTACCGACGTCACAGAAAACACAATTTTCGATTTTCCGAAAATGTAATTGAACAAAAAGTTAGGTTTCACTAAGACAAGCTTCGACAAAAATGCGCGTAGGTGGCGCTAGTGAACTTGACAAAAAAACGCGAGTGGCCTACCTAGACAGTAGGCCAACCTTGACTACATTCCCCTATTTTATTTATTTTATTTTCAATTTCTATTTATTTATTTTTTTTATTTTCTTTATTTTTTCTATTTTCTCTATTTTTTCTATTTTCTCTATTTTTTCTACTTTCTTTATATTTTCTCTATTTTCTTTATTTTTTTTAGTTTCTCTATTTTTTCTATTTTCTCTATTTTTTCTTGTTTCTCTATTTTTTCTATTTTCTCTATTTTTTCTACTTTCTCTATATTTTCTCTATTTTTTCTAGTTTCTCTATTTTTTCTATTTTCTATATTTTTTCCATTTTCTCTATTTTTTCTAGTTTCTCTATTTTCTCTAGTTCCTCTATTTTTTATATTTTCTCTATTTTTTTCCATTTTTATTTTTTATTTATTTTTTCTATTTTTATTTATTTTTAATTTTTATTTATTTCATGTTATTTAAATATTGAAAATTACTGATTATTTATTTAAAGAATATTTAACTTTCGACCCAAAAATTAAATTTACTTTGAAAATTTCTTTCGCATTTTTCTGAAAGATTTAAATTTCGCGCCATTATTATTTCTTCAGCGTCCCGTCAGATGGCGAATATTTCTCTCACAAACGAGATGAATCGGACCAGTGACTGACTGTTCGAAACTAATATTAGAAATAATGTTATTATTAATTAATATTTAAATAGAAATTAAATTTCTAATTTTAATAATAGGAAAATAGTTCAAAAATTATTAAATTCGTTTAAAAATAACAATTGATAAAATTAATAAAAGTTTAATTAAAGTGTCGAATTTTTTTTTTACAGATTCGGTGGTTAATGTCTGATGGCGCGCGCTGGCACTCAACGCTGGAGGAATCCTGCTCCAGAGTGAGTAGAATTGTCACTTAAATAATTAACACTCGATTAATTATGTCCCCTGCAATGAATAATTAACTTGACCGTAATCTTATTCTATTTTTTACGAGAGGTTAAATAATTTAAAGGAAAATACGAAAAATACGACGAAGGAAAATAATAACAGTAAAAGTGATTACAAACTCTAATTAAACTCTATTTTAATTAATTAATTAAATTAATAATTTTTATTAATAGTTAATATAAAATAGAAAATAAAATAAATAAAATTTATAAATAAAAGTAAAATATAAATAAATATAAATAGAGAAAATAAAATAAATAAAATAAAAAACAAGTTGAAATTAATTACAAACAATATTAACAACAATAGAAATAATAATAACAACAATAACTATTGTTATTACTATTTTTTATTAATATCATTATTGTTATTATATTTTTCTGTTATTATTATTATTATTATTATTATTATTATTATTATTATTATTATTATTTTATAGCTATTTATTATTTAAAAATAATATTTGCTACAATAATAAGCAATAAATATAAAAATTCTTTATTTTAAATTGCGATTTAAACAATTAACAAATATAATCGGTATTTTTATTTTAGCAAAAAATAATTTTTGTCTAATAAAAAAACTACAGTTTGTAATTTTTTTGTGTACGTAGAAAAAAAAACTTGAATGTATGAATTAAAATATACTCTGTAGTCGCGAAAAGAAAACAAAGAATTTTCAACAATCACTCTTGTAAAAGTTTTTTGTTTTGTTGTATAAGCTTTTTTTTTGCGTTTTTGCTTTATATAACAAGTGACTTGCAACTCAAAGTTTCAAGTACTATTATATACGATCTTCTTTACGTTTTGAATAAAACACGGAGAATTTTTTTTCAACCTTCTCGAATAACAATAAGTATATTGGTTTTAGAGCAACAGAAATTTAAAATCAAATTTTAATTTTAAATTTCAAAAATTGGGAAATTTTTCATTTTTTATTTAGAAGCAATTTATTTTTCTTCTTTTTATTAGTGTTAGACAAAAATAATAATATTATAAATAATGAAAGAAATTAAATAATTGCTTTCAATTCAATGATTTTCAATATTTACTATTTTAATAAAATTTTCCACAATAATTCAATTATTTATAAAAAAAAATATTGATAAATTCTACGTAAGCATTTGATTATTTTCATAAATATTAAAAATTTCATTTGAATTCAATTGTTTTCAAATTTTTATATAAATCAAGTATTTTTATAAATAATATAAATTTTTTTCGGGGATTTAATTATTTTCGTAAATAAGAAACTTCTTTTGAGGAATTCAATTATTTTTATAAATAATAAAATTTTTACATGAATTTAATTATTTTAAAATACAATTTTCATAAAATTTTTCGAAAAAATCAATTATTTAAAATGATTTTTATAAAATTCTTCACTAGAATTTAATTATTGAAAAAAATATTAATAAAATTCTTCATAAAAATTCCATTACTTTTTAAAATTTGAATAAAATTCTTGATATCAATTCAATTATTTTTGAAAATTTGAATAAAATTCGTTGCAAGAAATCAATTATTTTTAAAAATTTTAATAAAATTCTTGATATCAATTCAATTATTTTAAAAAATTTTGATACAAGCCTCGGCGAAATTTCAATTATTTTCAAAATTTTGCTTCAATTCAATGATTTTCAATATCTACTATTTTAATAACAAGAATATTTTCAAACACAATTTTCATAACGTTTTTCGAAAAAAATCAATTATTTAAAATAAAAATGTGTAAATTCTTCGTAAGAAGTCAATTATTTTTGAAACTTTTAATAAAATTTGTTTCAAGGATTCAATTATTTTTGAAAATTTTAATAAAATTCTTGATATCAATTCAATTTTTTAAAAAAGTTTTGATAAGAACGTCGGCAAAATTTCAATTATTTTCTCAAATTTTCCTGAATTCAATGATTTTCAATATCTACTATTTTAATAAAATTTTCCAAAAGAATTTAATTATTTAAAACAATATTATTAAAATTTTACGCAAACATTCAATTATTTTCATAAAATAATAAAAATTTAACAAGAATTCAATTATTTACAAATTCTACTTCCTGACAGAGGAAGTATTTTATTAATTTCTTCGCAATAATTTCATTATTTTGATAAATAATACATTTTTTACAAAGATTCAATTATTTTCATAAATAATCAAATTTTTAACAGGGATTCAATTATTTTCATAAAAAATAAAACTCATTGCAGAATTTCAATTACTTTTAATACAATTTTTAAATTTTTAATCCAATTCCTCGAAATATGTAATTATTCTTCAAAATTTTATTAAAATTCGTCGAATGAATTTAATTATTCAATTATTTTTTAATTATGTAGAAATTTTCTAATATAATTCTTTATGAGAATTCAATTATAAGAAATAATCTATTATTCTACAAATTATTTATGTTTGTATTTAAATAATTGAATTCTCGTAGTTCTAATAAAAATTTATATAAGAATTGAATTTCAGTTCAAAATTTTAGATAATAATTAATAATAATTGAATATTAAAAGAATTATAGTATGAATTTTCAGAAATAATTGAATTTTGAAAAAGTTTCAAATTAAAATTGTTGAAAAATTTGAATTTTTCTTACTTTTAACTAACAATTCTGTAGAAATAATTTTTTTTGAAAAAGTCTTATTGAATTTTTTTTTTTTTTTTGAAATTATTTCAAGTTTTTATTTTCTAATTTTTTTTTTCTAATTATTTTCAAAAATTTTTCTGAATTTATTGATTTTTAATATCTACTGTTTTAATAAAATTTTTCAAAAGAATTCAATGATTTAAAAAAAATTTTTTAATTCTTCGCAAGCATTTCATTATTTTCATAAAATAATAAAACTCATCTCAGACTTTCAATTGAGGGGCTGCCCAGTGAGAAATTGCCAATAGACTTTAATCGGTCCAATATCGGTCCAATATTGGTTGCCGTGCTGGGCGCCGATTGACTCCCAATATTGGACCAATATGGGCTGATGCTTGGGATGTAACGGCATCGCCAATCATCGGTTGTCAATATTGGTCCAATATTGGCCGAATATTGGCAACCAAGAGAAAAAAATTTTTTTAAATAAATTTTTTTTAATTAAATAATAATAATAAAAAATTAATGTTTATAATTTTTGTTTAATATATTTATTTGTTTAATTATTTATTTTTAATAATTCATGTAAATAATAAATAATTTATTATTTATAAATTATAATTATTTAAAAATGCAGCAGCTATTAGAAAATAGCATTCTGCAAAAAAAATTCTATCATTGAAAAATCAATGATAGGCGAGAGAAATCCGCGTCTTTAAATAGATTCGCAGATGATAGACAAGAGATATCCGCGTCATTAAACGGATTCGCAGATATACTCTGGTCCAGTGCTGCCAGACCAGGAAAATCAAAATTCTTCAAACTTCTAAAACTTTTCTTCAAAAATCTTCAAAACCTTATGAAAAAAATCTTCAAAAAAATCTCCAAATTTTAAAAAACTTAGAATCAAGAATATTATGAAATTATATAATTATTATAACTAATATTTGATCTGAAAGGTTTTGCATTAGATCATAGAATATGTTTCAACCAAACAAAATTTATTCTCTGATGGTAAATTGTATTCTGCTGCAAGAGACTGTTCTTACGTATATCAGGGTGAGATACCATGTGAGCAGAATACGTCTACCGAAAACAGAAAATCATGAGAGTGAAAAGAACAACAATATCTACCTATCTTTTTTGCACTCATGGTTTTCTGCTTTCGGTGGTGCAAATATAGCGAACATATCTCTCTCACATTTATGCATTTACGGTTTAGTCACAAAACACTACCAAATGGTAACAATTTACATTCATCTCTCACCATTCTAGTGTTATTTAAAAAAGAAATTAATAAAACTTACTTCTTAAAAAAAAATCTTCAAATTTTAAAAAAATTTCTTCAAATTCTTCAAATTTCTCAAAACTACAAATTATTCTTCAAATTTGAAGAAAAATCTCCCAATCTGGCAGCACTGCTCTGGTCTTGCGACGAATCTCTCGATACTTATATACACTGGAGTCGCCGTGTCAGTTGCGAGAACGGTTACAGCGTCCCTCTTGCGGCAGAGATAAGAATTGTCACGTAAACTGCGGGTATAATAAGGCCGTCGGTAAAGCGATTTAGCAGTTTACGTGACAATTCTTATCTCTGCCGCAAGAGGGACGCTGTAACCGTTCTCGCAACTGACACGGCGACTCCAGTGTATATAAGTATCGAGAGATTCGTCGCGAGACCAGAGTATATCTGCGAATCCGTTTAATGACGCGGATATCTCTTGTCTATCATCTGCGAATCTATTTAAAGACGCGGATTTCTCTCGCCTATCATTGATTTTTCAATGATAGAATTTTTTTGCAGAATGCTATTTTCTAATAGCTGCTGCATTTTTAAATAATTATAATTTATAAATAATAAGTTATTTATTATTTACATGAATTATTAAAAATAAATAATTAAACAAATAAATATATTAAACAAAAATTATAAACATTAATTTTTTATTATTATTTAATTAAAAAAAATTTATTTAAAAAAATTTTTTTCTCTTGGTTGCCAATATTCGGCCAATATTGACAACCGATGATTGGCGATGCCGTTACATCCCAAGCATCAGCCCATATTGGTCCAATATTGGGAGCCTTTATTGGACCGATGATCGGTCTCTTGGCTCCCAATATTGGACCGATATTGGACCGGTGAGAAATTTCTCACTGGGTGGATGCTATAATGTGTTACGCGCCATGTTAAGTGAATGGCGCGTAACACATTATAGCATCCAGCCCCTCAATTATTTACAAATTTTTTATAAATCATTTTCATAAATGATAAAATTTTTCAAAGGAATTCAATTACTTTCATAAATGATAAAATTTTTTAAAAGGAATTCAATTATTTTCATAAATAATAAAATT